TGGAGTGCAGTGGCACAACCCAGGCTCACTGCAACCTCTTCCTCCCAGGATCAAGCCGTTCTCTCGCTTTAGCCCCTACTTCAGCTGGGATTACAGGCGTGTGCCACCACCACCCCCGGCTAATTTTTGTATTTTTAGTAGAGACAGGGTTTCATTATTTTGGACAGTCAGGTCTCAAGCTCCTGGCCTCAAGTGATCTGCCCACCACAGCTTCCCAAAGTGGTGGCATTACAGGCACCATGCCCAACCTCTATGTTGTATTTCTGTTAAAAATGTTTATCTAGAATGTAATAATAGGAAAACAGACAAATACAAACACAACCTGCAAAACAATTCACCTGGATTCTTCAGCATGCTCTGAAAGACAAAGTCTGAGGAACTGTCCTAGATTAAGAGCAGCTAAAGAGACGTGATAACTAAATGTAGTATCTGAACCAGGATTAGATTCTGAATCATGAACAAACTTACCAAGGAAATTATTGGGACTACTGGGACATTTGAATATGGGCTGAATATTATATACAAATATTTTATCAGCTGGGCACGGTGGCTCACACCTGTAATCTCAGCACTTTGGGAGGCCGAGGCAGGTGGATCACAAGATCAGGAGTTCGAGACCAGCCTGGCCAATATGGTGAAACCCCACCTCTACTAAAAATACAAAAATTAGCCAGGTGTGGTGGCATGTGCCTGTAGTCCCGTCTACTCAGGAAACTGGGGCAGAAGAATCACTTGAACCCAGGAAGCAGAGGTTGCAGTGAGCCAAGATCATGCCATTGCACTCCAGCCTTGGGAAACGGAGCAAGACTCTGACTTAAAAAAAAATAGTTCTGGCTGGACATGGTAGCTCATGCCTGTAATCTCAGCACTTTGGGAGGCTAAGGCGGGCAGATGGCTTGAGCTCAGGAGTTCAAGACCAGCCTGGGTGACAAAGTGAGACCTGTCTCTACAAAAAATACAAAATATTAGCTGGGCATAGTGGTGCACACCTATAGTTCCAGCTACTTGGGAGACAGAGGTGGAAGGATGGCTTGAACCTGGGAGGCAGAAGTTGCAGTGAGCCAAGGTCAGGCCATTGCACTTCAGCCTAGGTGACAGAGCCAGACCCTGTCTCAAAAATAAATTTTAGTGATCCCTTCAGCAGCACGTATGCTTAAATTGGAACAATATGGAGAAAATTAGCATGACCCCTGTGCAAGGATGACACAGAAATTCATGAAGCATTTCATATAAAGCCAAAAATGTTAAAAAATGTTTTAATTAAGAATAGTCACACATTAAGATACCTAGAACCTTCTATATTTTCTCAATGTACCCTACTCTGTCAAATGGGAACTGGAATCCATTATCTGAGAAGGCATTACCTTTAGTAGCAAGATTCAAGTCAAAGTCCCTGTTCCACATTCTGGAACATCAGGTTGTAGTCAGTGTGGGTCTATCAAAGGCAGCAACTCTCCACAACGAGAATTCAGTTTCAGACATGCCAAGTCATCTGACCGTGTGGGCCCAATGTTCAGTATTGCAATTGGCAGCTTCTTCTCCTGGGCAGTGAGGATAAACCTGTAACCAGAGTACACCTGCACAGGAAAAGACACACATAAGAATGTATAGGTTCTCCAGATCTAGAAAAAGTTAAACTAGCCAGGCACGGTGGCTCACGCCTGTAATCCCAGCAGTTTGGGAAGCTGAAGCAGGCAGATCATGAGGGCAGGAGTTTGAGACCAGCCTGGCCATGATGGTGAAATCCTGTCTCTACTAAAAATACAAAAATTAGCCGGGCGTGGTGCTAGGTGCCTGTAATCCCAGCTACTTGGGAGGCTGAAGCAAGAGAATTGCTTGAACCCAGGAGGCAGAGGTTGCAGTGAGCTGAGATGGCACCATTGTACTCCAGCCTGGGTGATAGAGCAAGACTCTGTCTCAAAAAAAAAAAAAAAAAAAAAAAGCCAGGCTCAGTGGCTCACGCCTATAATCGCAGCACTTTGGGAGGCTGAGGCAGGCAGATCACGAGGTCAGGAGATCGAGACCATCCTGGCTAACGTGAAACCCCGCCTCTACTAAAAATACGAAAAATTAGCTGGGCATGGTGGCACGCGCCTATAGTCCCAGCTACTCAGGAGGCTGAGGCTGGAGAACCACTTGAACCTGGGAGGCAGAGGTTGCAGTGAGCTGAGATGGCACCATTGCACTCCAGCCTGGGTGACAGAGCGAGAGCGAGACTCCCTCTCAAAAAAAAAAAAAGAAAAAAATTAAACCAAACAGGGGGGTCTCTCAGGGACTTCCAATTCCACACAAGGGGTAGTTACCACTCTAGCCAACTCAGATACCTGCAAGGATGATCCCACCACCAAGAGGGAGTCAGCTTCTTTTACACGCTTGTGCACAAAATCAACCTTGTCAGGGTTCACTGTGTCTCCGAAGAAAACGACATCTGGTTTCAGACGGCCTCCACATTGAACACAGGATGGGACCTGAAAGCTCTGGACTTGCTCCTCTGAGAGAAAGACGTCACCATCGGGAGCCAGACCATGGGCCTCCGCACTCCAGGTGGGGTTCAGGACTTGGAAGCGCTCCTGCAGCACCACCCGGGGAGTCTGTTCCCCACAATCCAAGCACAGGACCCTGGAACCAAGGAAGACACCGACTGAACAGCCTGTCCTTGGGAGGCACACAGCTGCCAGAGACGTTTCATCCCCAACCATTTCCAGCCCTTCCATCACTGCTTCTTTCCCTCACACACAATCCCTACCCCACTTTAGGTATACTTTCTATTTTATTTTTTTATTTTT